GAGAGAGAGAGAGAGAGAGAGAGAGAGAGAGAGAGAGAGTTTTTTATCTAATAATGGTGTTAAATAAATAAGATCAAGTCTTGTGTTGTGATCTTATGGTGTTAAATAAATAAGATCACAACACAAGACTTAAAAAATGAAAACGAAAATGCTAGATTCATTACATCAGTGTATGATAAAATGTAAATGTTGTTAAAATTTAGGAGTTCAAAAAGATCCATAATATCACTTTGGTAACTTATAACTTCATTCCCATGTATTTTATAATCCTCAACCCATTCTGTAGATTATATAAAAGAATTTGAAATTAATTCATTGACTTTCTCAAACACCCTCATTTGGTAAATTTTTATATTGAATGGAGGCAAGTAAATGAAAAATATTGGAAAACACAAACTCCACATTCACGAAGTTTAACTGTTAGGCGGATCGACCCAACATAGTATATGAAAAAAATACATGCTTATTGACATCTGAGTTGATCTGAACGGGGACCGAGATAAAATACAATCACTTAACGAAGCGAAGAGTTGGGTTGACTACTCGGGTCGGAGAGTTAGGGATAAAAACCAAACACAAAAGTGAAAAAGTGATGCAGATATAATATTAATATTAATGATATAAGTATTAGTACTATTATTATTAGCATATATTATTTAATACTCCCTCCTATTTTTTTTAAATGTCATTCTAGTTTTATCAACTATTTGCTAAATAAATATCGTTTTGGATCTTTTGTACATATTTTTCCATTATTACCCTCATTTAGCCAATAAATACATTACGTCTTTTCATATCCACTCTTCATTTTTTCTCAAAACATTCATCTGTATCTTCATTAAATAAGGTTATTATTGACAAAAAAAATATTCTTAATTAGTGTGCAGCTTTTCAAAACGACATATATTAAAAATAGGAGGTAGTATTTAGTAGCTTGGTGGTCAAATTAGAGTCTTTGATTTTGTCTTATATAAAAGAATCTTCTGCTTTAATGTTATTCAGTTGATTTTTTAATGAAATAAGCTTTGATTGGTTTATCGTGCTTGAGCTCGAGATCTCATTCTTATCCTTTCCGTGCTCTTCTCTACATCAGTGTATCGGAAGTCAGTACGATTCAAGATGTCACCGCGAATAGACGACATCGACAGGCGGAACGCCACTATTGAGCATGGGGTCGACAAGCCACGGGCTTCGGCCGCCAGATCAATCAAATGGATCGTCGAGTTCAGGATCTTTCGACAGGATGGAAGAAGTGCGTCTTACGATCAACAACGTGGTCAGAGATTTGCAGACGAACCGTGACGCTAGCAACTAGGGAGTGCGCCGGGAGTTCTCGGAGGACGTGGAGGTCAGGGTCTAGACAGGGCACCCTGCAGGAGATCTCCACAACCACTATCCGACGACGAGGAGACAATCTCGGAGGTGAAACCTTTCAGCGATTATCAACCTCAGCATGTCGGCTGAGACCTTCGCTGAATACGACGGCCGTGAAATGCAGCGAAAGAGCTCAGTCTTCGTAGACGACGACGATCAACGTAGTGATATGGGCTGACGTGAGAAGGCAACCTTCGTTGGCGGATATCGACGCGATTGGGGACTTGAACGTGATGGCGCCGGCTTTGCGGCGTTCGACCGACAGTGACGCTGTTGAGACATCAGGCGCAACGCAGTGTACTCAAATGACGAACAACTGCGCTCGGGTTGGAACCTACAGTGCGACGTTGTCGCGGGAGATTGATAGTGGCGGCGCGACGTGCGATCCCCGACAGACGTTGGCAATGAGTCGTGCTGGGAGTTAAGATTTTGGGTCAACATCTCTGAGTTTTCCAGTGGGCTTGATCGCGAATATGGTCGATGAGAAAGCCCATTTCACGTTGAGATCCCCAAATTCGACGGACAGTAAATTGGCGGGCCATTGTACGACGGTTCGCCCATTTTTTATGAGGAGCGTCCAGTGACAGAGACACATATTTGCGGCGATATGGAACCCGCGTGGAACGTCAAAGAGGTTGAACCTTCGAATAGACAATCGTCGATCGAACACAATTTTTGGAGTATCTTGGCCATGAATGGTTTTTTGGAGCCGAGGTCGGGTCTCAAAAGCTGTTGGGACGTTTTCCGATTGTCTGTACCGAAGTCTTCCAACAAAGGAATGCTTGGCCGTAATTGTGGATCTGAACGCGGTGAACGATGTAGTATTTATTGTGTTAATTCTGCTAGGTGGTTTATGAGTATGAGGGCATGTTAAACTGCCTTTGTTGCAGTTACGTCCTTGCCCAACATCATATTTACCATCGGAGCTATTAGGCGACCTTCCACCTTCGTGTTCGATAGGGGAAATGATGGGCAATGATTGTCATGGGTACGACTCCGGTGTCAACAAGTTTGGTGTGGCTTCCAAGGTGAAGCCTTATGAACTTGGGGAGAATGATGGCGAATATAATATTAGTATTAAGGACATAATTATTAGCATTATTTTTATAAATTTATAATTATATATTATTTAATATTAAGTAGCTTGGTGGTCAAGTTAGGGTCTTTAATTTTGGAGCCTTATATAAATGACTCTTCTGCTTTAATGTTATTAAGTTGATCTTTTAGTGAAATAAGATTTGATTGAGTTTATTGTGTCTGAGATCAAGATCTCATTCTTATCCTTCTCATTCGTGTACTTCCCTACATCAAAAAGTCAATTGCCGAGCGAGGATCGAATGTGACACACATGTTGGATGAAACCGAAGCAAAGAGTCGACTTCAAAACATCAGAGCCCATAGGACCAAGCTCAAGACCTAGGACAAAAGGAGCCACAACATCAGTATTGGAGATTCGAGCCAAGCGCATTATGGCGTCGGGAAATAATAAAATAGTGACAACTTGTAGCCAAATGATGAAAGATGGGACATACCCACCAAAACCTTGACAGCCTACATAAATTATCTTTATAGGGTCATGTGCAATATTTAATGCATGTCATTTCCATTTAATGCTCGATGAACAGTAACTGGGCCACCTTTACTATAAATAGTTCTATGTATAATAAAATAATAACATATATTCTCTAATTAATTACAACATTAAACACGAGTACCGACCTCGACTGCAAAATTATCTGACCTCATGATAACCTCTTTTCATAAAAAAATTGTCATATTATACCAAATAAAAATAGTTTTAATACTTGCACTAATCTGATGCTTTAGGTTGATCAAATTCGTTGGTCAACAATTTGGCGCTAGATGAAGGGCTTCATTTTGTTTGAGGTTTACCAATCGACTTAAAAACCACACATCCAAAGCAAGAACGTAGCTCAACCTATTAACTAAAGAAGATTTCTTCATCAAGAAAGGAAGCAGAGTCCCAACTGCAGACGATGGAGCAACCATGCACGGTGACTCATGCTTTCGACTTCATGGCGATGTTCCAAAACCTAGAATTTCTTGAGGGCATAGAGAAACTTATGGCGCAAGTCATGCCAACAGCGTCACACGTGCCGGTGCCGCCTCCAGAGATTGATATGATTAAGACTCCAGCGAAGAAAGACACGAACCGGAAAGAAAAAACTGCATATCAAACACGAACAATGAAGACCAAGGAGAGCCGGTCAGTGACTAAACACAAGGAAAAAATCGCCTAACCCTTTGGTATTTAATGACTAGGGAAGAAGGAGATCGAGTAGGACTTCAGACCAAAAATCCTAAGGGACCGATAGACCAGACGCGATTTTGACGAGGTCGTAATCCTCAGAAAGAGAATTGTTGTTCGCCTATATTTTTAAAGCTCGACCGCAAGTGTACGGCTTCGCTCGTAGTATGTGGCAAGCAAGGTCGTATCCCAAGAGACCAAACAACCAATTAATCAAGTAGTGCTAATTTTATCTAGACAACCGAATATAAGATTGATTAACTAAACTAAGAAAATAATTCAAAAGATAATAAATCGATAACAAGAAAACAACTAGAAAAACACTTAAAAATAATATAAGGGAATGGTAGATTCTAAGACTATGGGTTCAATTAACAGTTGGGTTCCTTCAGATATATCACAATTAACTATTTTCTTTATCTACCCTATAAGATGATCACAAAATTAGCCTATCGTCCCTCTCGAGATCGATAAAACCGTAGATTAAATCACATATATTAGCGTCTCCACTCAACACATGCAATTCAACTCCAAATAGATTAAAAGATCTAAAATCCTCACAATTACCTACTAATCTCTCGATTCAAGCAAGTGAATTATGTCAAATATTAAAGACCTAATATTGAACTCATCTCTCGAAGTATGAACAATATTGTCAAACATGTAAAAGAATTGATCAAGTTCTAAACATGAAATAAGAACAAAATACTTGAATAGGGTTCAAAAGAAAAACAATCAATTATAAATAAATCATCCAAAATCCCAACATATTAACTACTACCAAGTCTTAGAATCAATAAATCTAGCTACTCATGTTCGAATTCAAACACATAGACATATCAAAAATCGACATGATCAATAAAAGTTCAAAAGGAAAGAAGAAATAAAAACTAGGAATCTCGTCGATCTTTCAATCTCCTTGATTCCTTCGTAGTTGATCTTTCTTTTGCTCCTCAATTGCTTCTCTTGTGTGTTCTAGGGCTCTTCTCCTTGCGTATTCCCGTTCTAGCGCTCAAAATAAGGTAAATATGCCTTTTTATATGTCCAA